CGCCCCAGGCCGCCCCCCGCCCACAGCCGCGCCGCGGTGCGCCTCCTCAGTCCGCCGCGGCCCGCGAACCAGCACACACCTTCTCGAGGCCGAGGCACACACGCACCTAGTGCACAAGATGGGTCCCCGTGCCCTGATCGCCGTCGCGGTGCTCGTCGCCACGGCCGCCGCCGCCCCGCCCGCCGGCCCGCACCAGCACGCGCCCGCGCCCAAGCTCCTCATCTCGCCCATCTTTGTCATCCCGCCCAACGTGAGGACGCCGCCCTTCCTCCTCACGACGTCGGCGGCGCCCTCCTCGACCGAGAGCACGACGACGCTGCCGGTCCCGACCCCCGAGGCCCCCGCAGTCCCCGAGGCCTCCGTACCCGCGGAGTCGGATCGTGAGCCCTCATCCGGTGAGTGTCTTGCTTGCAGGGCAGGGACTGGGTGGCGATGTTACTCGTGCAGCTCGAATCTTTGACATGGCATGGCCATTTTGCCGTCCAAGTTTGAAACATCACGCACGGCTGCTGGAGGCACGCGCTGTCTGCTCAGCGAAGTAGTGCTCGCAACAAAGTTTGACATTGAAATTCCCCAAATGTACCTGCATGGTGGTTTACTTAAAATTCTTTTTGGAGTCATACAGTCGTACTGTTTGCTTGTAGGTGTACTCTATCGCCTATTCTCACGGGGCCATGTTGTCCCGAGGCCGGTGAAGGTGGGGATAGTAGCCCTCCCGCTCAAAGAGGTGCCGCACAGTATCGCAATTACCGCGTGTCACAGGGCTACGGCACAACAGTATGTGGGTTTGCCAACTCGTTCCATCCATAAGGCGCCATGGCCCACAGGATGGGCAAACCCTACACCGTTGAGCCGAAGCCCTGTAACACACATTATAATCATTATAATCCGTCAACATGTTTCGTTTCGTAAGCCAAAACAGCCACCCCAAAATAAAATACTGATGATGAGCCCAAATTTTTATTTGTATTACAAGGCAAATTTCTTTCATATACGAACAACGAGTAGTTGTTCGTATACAACAGTCATTTTGGAACAAATATATGCATTTGTTGTGTAGTACAAAGGGAACAACCTTTATTGGTAGGTCAAACACTAAATTGACCGGCAAAATCGACAGTCTCGTGTTGCTGACGGCTCATATCCCCCCCCCCCCGGCCACACACAGCTACACACTCAAGCTGTTATTACTCCGTCGTACACTCCGTGCGTCACGGCGACTGGCTCAGCTCCTGGTCCTCCTGATCTCGTCCCCGCGCGACTGCTATATTTCCCCTTTCGTCTTTTCAAATTTATGTTGTGTTTTTCTCCTTGAACATTGGAGAGCGCCGATGTTTGCATGTTTTGGACGCATTCACCAGAGATCACATGCACTTCCTGTACTTTCGCGCCGTGTCACCCTCTGAACGTCAGGGACCCTCTCCTCCCCCTCCTCCTCCCCCCTCCGCCAACCCCTCTTCTTCCCCCTCGTCCACCTCCTCCTCCACCCCCTCTTCCTCCCCCTCAGCCTCCCCTCCTCCTTCTCCTGAATCGGGGGCTTTCCCTTGTGCACTTGTCGTTATGTTGGACGCGACTCCGCTACTCTGGAGAATTAATTGATCCTGCTTCGGGGAAGTCCCCGCCTTGTGAGCGCAGCCTCCTCCGAGGCCTCCTCAGCGCCGCAGCGTGACCACCATCCGGTCCATGGGGGCGCTCCGCGGCCCCCGGCGGTGCAACAGGCCCCCTTGTGGTGGTTTACCCCGTTGCAGTGGCATTCCCTGACCGCGACAGCCCCTGGCATTGGAACGTACAGCGTCACCCGAAGGCATTGGCATGGCACCCCTTACAGCGCACCCCGTAGGCCGCGGCCCGCGGCCTCCCTGGCAGCAGAAAGCAGAAACCATCGGCCCACATAGCAGCCGAACCTTTATGTCAGAGTACCTGACAATTTGGCATCCCGTAGCAGCGGCATTCCCTGGTAGCAGCAAAACCCCAGGCAGTAACTCTACCCCTACCAACTCAGCTAGCTACCCCGTAGATTCTGATCCCTTGTTCTTTAATCGTGTAAGACCAAAACTCTTCCTATGCTGTGTGTACCTCCACATGACTAGTGTTGAACACAGCGAGCTACACGCTTGCAAGTGTTTTACTGTACAACCCAGCTCTTGGCCCTGGAACCGCACCTGGGCACTCACTCACCCCCCGGCCGTAGCCTCTCGCCCTGCTCTGTCCGGTTCCAGATCTCGCTCGCAGTCCAGGTCTTTCCCCTGGCCAGCGGGTTCCCCCGGAGCGGGACGCTGACGTCACGACTTCGCTCGACCCACCCGATATCAGGCCGGAGCATCGCCGGCCGACAAAGTATTGTTGGATTGGCTTTGACGCACGTTCTACTAACTACGCACTCTTTTGTACTACTACACCTACATTCTTAAATCAGAGTGCAATTCTCGCTGTCGCCGCAGGTCTCATTGGGGACGGTGTAACTTTATCACCACATCCGAGAGGGCGCTAATGTTTAGGGGGAATCACCGACAAAAAGTTCGCCCGTCATTCGCCATTACGAAACTGCGGAGGTCATTCAGCAAGCTCGCATAGCGCCTGGTAGGTAGGCAACATCTTCCCGGCAGTGCACGCGTGTACAGCGGGGTGGCCTACCCCGAGTCTCGCAGGCGCGCCGAGCTCCCAAAGTTTGCGTTAGTTAAGAAAACGGGCGTACTTTCTGAACAACCCTCCCAACCATTTGACAAATTTCACTACATTTTGAAGCGACGAGGGTCACAGGGTGCGCTCCCGCTCGCACCACTTCACGCACTGCATTGAGCTCCAGTGAGGCGGGCCCGGTAATTCAAAATAAAACGAGCTGCACGCAAAGCAGTAGCAAAGCAAAAGAAGAGTGGAGTATTGACTTCCTTCTCCTCGCCCCCCCTCCCATCCTCCTCTTCCTCCCCTCCTCCTCCTCTCTTCCCCCCTCCTCCTCCCGACCTCCTTCTACCCACCTTCTCCTCCCCACCTCCTCCTCGTCGTCGCACGACGCTAACAAGAAGCAGTCCGTAATTAAACTATTTATGTGCGGAGAGAACTCCTGGAACAACAACACCACATCCCAATCCTGTCCAGTCCAGCAGTCTCAGTCACCGCGAGAAGCTAACTAAGCCGAAAGGGGAGGGCGAGGGAAGACAACAAATCAACTGCAAACGCGCTATTCAGGTTGCATGGTTGCGCCGGATTGCACATTATTGTTTTGAATTTGTTGTTAACCAACATTAAAGTATGTTTTTTGAGCTTTACAAGCTCACAGCGCTCGTAATATCGAGTGATTTGATAAAGAGTGGACCATTTCGATTTTTAGTTTGAGTGCTCAGATTGCACCCAGACGTGGACGATTGCATGAGTCGTGGCCCCCCTCTCCACCTAAAAGGGTACCTGACCTTCTGACCCTGACGGGAGTGATGGTCAATAGGGAAACGCATCGACACAACGACGTCACGGCTTTGGGTATTATTTATTCACAACATTCAAAAACACTTTCAATGGTAAGGTTGACACTCGATTAAAACAAAGACGATTACGGTGGATTGATGGCGGCTGGAGCATTGAATGATTTGCAATTCTAAATGATGGCTAACAATAAGTGGCACCGAATTTGGCGGGACGAGCCATACGACGCTTGTTCCCTCTCCTGATGGATGGATGGCTGCCGGGCTGTGCGGGTGACCGGGCGGCTCCGCGACGGGATGGGCAGAACGCGGCGTGGCGTGGCGCGGCGTGGCGCGGGAACCTGGAACCTGTTCCCCTCCGTGACTCCCGGAGTGCGTCAAGAAGGATGTCTGTATTTCCCGACTGTATATCCCGAGATTCATCGTCGGCAAAACAGCCGGCGACTGCCGGTCGAGTTAGCATCACCTCACCCCAGCTCCGCGAAGCGAAGCCGGCCCGGCCGCGACAGAGCAGCTGCGCCGACAAACTAGCAGAGAGGAACTATTGCTGGTCGCCTTACAGACCGAAGGAGGCGAACACTTGCTTTTATTTCGTTCGTGACTAAGAACTGCAAAAATCACAATTTTTCGCATATGTAGTCTCAGTAACAAACCCTTTCGTTCTGCAGTTGCAACGACAGCAGAACGTTTTAGTTCGCCACTTCTTCCTACAGAACAAAGTGTTCGCCACTTACAAATGTAGAACAGTTCTACACTCAGATCTATTAGAAAATATAGTGAACTACAAGTACCAAAAAGTTGTATCTAAATACATTTTAATTTTTTTTTCATCCCTATGGCCAGGATTCGCAGCGGCGTTGTCTGAGCCCGCGGTGGGACCCGGGCCGGGCGGGCCGGGGTCAGAGGTCCGCGACGTAGAGACAGCCTCGCCCGCGACAAAAACTGGTTGGCTTTGGGAATGTTGCAATGACTTCCGCCCAGGGCTGCAAACCACAGCGCTCTCTAGACTCTAGAGTGATAGCCACAGCCCTAGCCCTGTGAGCAGGCAGGCTACGATGTTGTCAACATTATGCCATTTTGAGGGTTTTACTCTGGATATAGCTCCAGCAGTTTTTTTTAGTCATTGTGACATAAAAGTGCAGTTTTGCAGAATTTTGCGCTTTGTCTACTCTCGGGCTCTCCTCTGCTGGCTTCTCCCGCACCCCAGGAGAACACTGCACCAGTGTATTGCACGCAACGAACAGCACAAATAAAATCGGACCAAGAAAAGGGGGAACAATCAACGTTTTTCCGTCCCTTCCATCGCGGCAGTTTCCGCCCGTGCTCCGGGTGCAGGCCACCGCTCTCCCCGCTCGAGTTCGAGTACCATTGTACCATCTCCGGCCCGGCGGGCGCTTCTTGCCCCGCCACGCCTCGCTCCACCCACGCCGGGCGCGCGGCGCGCAGCGCGCCTTCAAGTTGACGGCTTACAATTTACAACCCATAAAAGGCCCACCGTGTGAACGACTGTGCCAATTGGTTGTGCCACCGTCACTGAGGGCTGTTTCACAAGGAGAGAGGGAAAGGGGGGGGGGGTCAGCCCCTCTCATGGCAGCTCGGCGCCGCGCTGCGCTCTGGACCCCCGGATGCTGCGCGGACCGTTTCCTTGGCCGAGCGCCTGCCCGGCCCGGGGTAGGCCGCTGGCTCCGCGCGGCCGCGCTCGCCGCCGCCGGCTGCCTACCGCCCAGGATGACTGGCGAGCCGAGCCAGCTCGGCCGGCAGGCGGCAGGCGAGCGGACACCTTCCGAGCAGAAAATCTAGTGAGCGCGTCTCTGTCGCAAGCGTACTATGATCCTTCTAATCATTGTCATTTGTTGCTTCTAGATGACGTGCTCGATGAGGATGACTTCGAGGACCAGGACGGCGGCGAGGACAGCGACAGTGACAGTGACAGCGACAGCGACGGTGACAGAGACAGCTCTGAGCCGCCAACGCCGAGCCCCGAGGGACCCGTGATTCCCGTGTCGGACCTCCTCCGCCTGTTGGAGACGCTCAGCGCCGCGGTCGAGCAGCGGGACGGTGAGTACAGTGCGGCTGGGGCGGCTGGTCTCGCTCATAGCCTCTCTCTGTCCTTGTCTCTCACGCACAGCCGCAGCCCCGCGCAGCTCGCCGCCGCCGGCCCGGGCGCCCGAGGCGGCCATCGCAATGAGGCGAACTTTGGCTCTCGCAGCGAGTCGCGGCGACAGTGGCGAGGCGGGGCGGGCGCACGGGGAAGCCGCGTGCCGCAAGTTAAAAAAAAAAAGTTTTAAAAAAAATACTCGGTTGTATCCTTGGCGCGCAGTTCTGTGTTGCCCTAGCACACATACTCAGCCGTGTATACTTGTCCTATACACCGAGTCTAATGAAAAGCGATAACACCCATCGAGTAGTTAGTTCGTTGACCACACTGAGAAATTTTCGGTCGGTGAAACTTTCACATGGTCGTGCGAACCACCGAGCAAGTCGCGAAGACGTGCGCTCGAGGTGACACTATTCCCCAATGGTTTGTGTTTTCTGTTTTCGCAGAGGAGGTCGTGTCCCGCCTCTCCCTGGGCGACCTGGGCCGGGTGGCCGACGAGCCCACCCCTGACAACACCCTGGGCGACCTGCCCGCGGCGCCGGCGGTCTCGGACGACGACAGCGACCCGTCGGTCGCGCTGGTGCGGTGGGCCATGGAGAGGTTCAGCAACGCCCAGCAGGACGAGGCCCTCGAGGAGAAGGAGGACGCGGACAGGCGCACTAACCGCGTGCGCCGCGGCGCCTTCAGCTCCAGCAGCTCCTCCAGCTCCTCCAGTTCCTCAAGCTCCTCGGGCGGCAAGTCGAACTCGCACTCCGCGTCCAACTCGCAGTCCAACGGCGGTGGCGCAGCCTCCGGCAGCTCCAGGTAAGTGCTGCTTACTGTGTAGCCAACCTTGAAAATGGGACGCACCCTACATGTGTATCTGGTTAAATGAGTACTTCCCTTTCACGGGCGATAGAATTGGGTGTACATGTACAAGATTCCTCCCCCAAAGAAGAGAAACTTTCTCGATTTACAGTGAGTGCGACTGCGCCTGCACTTACTGCCTGACTAATAGACAGTGTCTATCTCCCCCACAGCTCCAGCTCCTCATCCTCGTCCTCTGGCTCCTCCGGCGGCGGCTTTGGACATCAACCGTACTTCCAGCCGCCCAACTACGGCTACCAGCCGCAGGGCAACTTTGGCTTCGGCCAGCAAGGCGGCTACGGCCAGCAAGGCGGTTTCGGCCAGGGCGGCTACGACCAGGGCGGCTTCGGCATGGGCGGCTACGGCCAGGGCGGCTTCGGCCAGGGCGGCTACGGCCAGGGTGGCTACGGTGGTGGGGAAGACTCGAGCTCCAAGAGCGACTCCAGCTCCAGCTCCATGGCCAACGGCGGCGGAAACTACGGAGGCGGCGCCCCCAACTACGGCGGTGGCGTTCCCAACTACGGCGGTGGCGTTCCCAACTACGGTGGTGGCGTGCCCAACTACGGTGGTGGCGTTCCTAACTACGGCGGTGGCGTTCCCAACTACGGCGGTGCTCCGCAGCAGCCAAACTACGGCGGCGGAGTGCCCAGCCACGGCGGCAGCGGCCAGAGCCACTCCAAGAGTGACTCCACTTCCAGCGCCAACTCCGGATCTCACTCTGGGGGCGGTGGTCACCAGCCCAGCCACGGCGGGGTGCCAAACTACGGCGGAGCTCCCCAGCAGCCCAACTACGGTGGAGCGCCTCATCAACCAGCCTACGGAGGGGCACCAAGCCACGGCGGCAGCGGCCAGAGCCACTCAAAGAGCGACTCCACTTCCAGCGCCAACTCTGGCTCCCACTCCGGGGGCGGTGGTCACCAGCCCAACTACGGCGGTGTGCCTAACTACGGTGGAGCTCCCCAGCAGCAGCCCAACTACGGTGGTCCGAGCCACTCCGGCAGCAACTCTGGGTCCAACTCGCAGTCGGCGTCCGGCTCTCAGGGTGGCTCACAGGGCGGCTACGGAGCGCACGGAGGTGCGCCCACAGACGGCGCGGGTCTCCTTGATGTCAGGTAAGTCGCTGTGTCTGTGAGAGTGGCACATGGCCCTTTGTAAGGCATCGTGGTTAGGACGGTGGACCTGCCATGCCCCAGCCCCACCCCCTCCACTCATTGACGCCGTGGTTCTGCCCCTCACAGGACGGGCACCGGGTCCAGGCGCTGCAAGACTAAAGCCTGCACGGAGGAAAACGCTATCCTGCCGCAGTCGCACAAGGGCGCCGCCAAGCCGGCAGTGCCGCGCCCGCTGCCGGCCGGCCCCGGCGACGACGTGGTGGCTGGCCCACTGCTCAGCAATCGCGGTGGGTTCGGCGCCGCCGCCGAAGAGCCTGCCGCCCCCGCCGCGGCCGCCGCCCCCGATGCCGGCGGCAACCCCGACTGCTTTGCCACCTCCAGCTCCACCTCCCAGTCGCAGCCGCAGGGTAAGAAAAGCAGTGCTGGTGTGCACGCTTATCACCCTCAAACCCTCTCCACCCTCTCACCCCACTCTCTCACCCTCAGGCCCTGCGACCGCGCTTAGCAACCGCGGTAAACTGCCAGGCGGCGGTTGCTTCTCCAGCTCCAGCTCTAGTTCACAGACCCCCGGAAAGTGAGACCTACCAGGAGCGGGTCGTCGAACCTCGTCTTTCAACGAAAGTTTTAGCTTTAAGTATGATGTAATGATGTAAGTATGACGATTCCTTCGGTCTGGTTGACTCCTAGACCAAGGGAAACCTTCTCCCGCTATTTTGTTCAGATAAAAATATTGGGAGATGGCATTATTTGTGATCGAATGACTGACTGAGTCCCGGTGAGCGCAAGTGTAAGATGTGTATTAAAAAATTGCCAATAGTTTTGTAATTTTTGATATAGTTATTATTTTTTTATGTGTGAACGTGTGACTTTAGTTCACAAAAGAACAGACTAGTTTGATAAACACAGAAGACACAAGCACCGGGCCGATTGAACAAGTCAAATTCAACAAAACTCAACAGAATGCTGTCTCAGACATAGACCCTATTGCACAACACCATCCTGACTGGTACAAGAAAATCATTGTACTCTAAAAAACATTACACAAAAGATGCATACATAGCTACCAATTTGTTTCTAACAGAAAAGCTAACATCTTGTGCTGAAATTCCCTCTTAAAATTGAAACCATAAAGCACTGTAACATTTTTGGAATTGTTATTGTTAACAATATATTGTACAAAGCTAAATTTAAACAAAAAGTTTAAAATAGAAAATCTGAAACTCATTAAATGTAATTGGCTTGGCAGTACAACAACAAGAAGTCTTAGGTCATTAATTAAAATTTACAGCCAGATTTATCATATAACTGAGAAGTCTGGCTGCAAGTACAGTTGAACCTAAAATACAGCAACTAATATTGGCAGTCTTCATACCCTTATGGTAATTATGGTAATCATAATAGGATGTAATGTAATATGACACACTTACAAGATAACTGACAGAGGGTCAATCTCCTCCATGGTCAATTAAAACTTTGAGAAAAATTACAAATCACAGACCTTTAATCGTTGTGTACTGTGCATGAGTAAAGGAGACCTGCAAATCTATTTCATTTTCTGAGTGGTCACTACTGTTATTTCCAAAGAAAATTAGAAATTTCTATCTGTAAGCACCAGTAACTATGTAATGGAACAAAAGAGATCACATTTTCTCTTTTCTAAAAAGAAATATACTACCTACTTTCTAACGCTCTCAACAGTTTCTAAATGTCTCAACAGTCTTTCATAAATCAAACTTTAAAACAAAAACATCTCATGGCTGCAACAGGAAAAGTTTTAAAGAACAGCAAATTTATACTTACCGCACCCATTGCAAAGGTGGATTTGTAAATGCTGATTCATCAATTTACTTACATTTAGAAGTCATTGTCATAATGCAAATTTTCACAAGATATCACAGAGCGTTAGGGCCACTGCGCTTTTAACACAATGTTCCCAGGTCCACCACTATTTGATTTGTATTTTACAAGCATTGGAATTTGAAAAGCAGGTTTATAAAATAAAAATCGAAAGGTAAAATATTTTTAAATTTGGGTCAAACTAAACAGCCTGCAAAAATATCAAATAAATAAAACAAACATAAATATTGGGAAATCTTTCTTCACATGTGCGGGCTCACAGGCAGCCCACAAGTAATCTGACTGAAAAATTGGAATCTTTGTAAGAGGAACTCCACCAAAACTCCATGCAAACAGGTGCATAAAATAAAATAAAACTTCACAGAAGTTACTAGTTCATAGATGCATATGCATAAATAGTTTGGTTTCAAACCACATCCTTACACTAATTTTGTTTCATTATAACTGGTGGTTGGTGGGCCAGTTCAGGATATGCGCAGAAATAAACTAGTATTACATTAGTAATCACGAACCCCAGAACTTATCATCTACTAGACGTGACTGGATTCCAAGATTCCCTTGTAAGCAATGCAGGGATCCTATCAAATAAATAGTTACACATTAACATGAAACACAAAAAGCACAGGAAAAAAAAGAGAAAAAAAAAGAACAGTTTTAATTTAACTTAACCTCTTAGGTCATTCACAGCACTTGGATTTGGCGCGAGACACTATCTACACCATGCTGCCGTCCTCGTCGGACAATTGCACATCCTCCAGTGTGACCGGTGCCGCCCCGGGACTGGGGGAAGTCCGTGGCTCGGCGCCGCTGGGGCCGCCGCTGGGACCGGCCCGGGAGGAGTGTGCTTCCGGACTGGACTGCTTAGGCTTGGAGCCAGGCCAGGACCCCTCCCCGGCACCAGCGTTGAAGCTGGCGCCACTGGGTCGGGGGCCGGCGCCGAGCAGGTGCCGCTGCCGTGTCCTGGCCACGCACATGCTCTGGCTGCGGGCGGCGGCGGCGCTGGCGGCCGCGCCCTGGACGACCCCCGAAGACGCCGGGCGGCGCACGCTACTCCGCAGCACGTTGGCGACGTCGGCGGCCGTCATCTGGGAGTCGGGCCTCTGGTGGCCGGCGGGGCTGGACTGTGGCCGCACGAACTCCTCCGGCCGGGCCGCCCGAGGGGCCGCCACCGCCCGGGGGCCTACCGCGCCGGGGGCTTCCTCCTCCATGACGATTGTCACGTCGTGCAGCGAGGCCTGGCTGATCTCCACCAGGACGGCGGCGTAGTCTGGCGGAGCGGGAGACGGCGCTGGGTCCAGGGCGGTGGCACCCTGGGCGGCGGTGCTCTGGATGGAGGTCCGCGGCGGCCCCGGCGCCCCCGGGGGCGGCCCCCACGCCTCCGCCGCGCCACCCGCCGCGCCCACGCCGCTCACCGCCAGCTGGATGCGCCGCACGCTGCGCCTGAAGCTCTGCCGCAGCATCTTGGCGATCCTGGCGCCCGTGGCCGTGGTGTAGGACGGCGGGGGCGTGTACTTGGGCGGTGGGTCCTCCACCACGGCGCCCTCCTGGTTGCCGCCGCCCGCCGCGGCCCCGCCCGCCCCGGACTGCAGGTCGGTCTGCGAGGTCAGATCGTTGAGGTCGTCGTCGCCGTCCACCGGCGGTCGGTACAGCAGGGTGATGCGCTGCGACCAGAAACAGCGTTTCAGTGAGGTGACCGAGAACCGACTTTTACGCTGGACAATTTAAATGCCCGCGGGGTGCCCTGCTGGTACTCACGTCGAAGATGTCGGGCGGGCCGCTGGAGAGGTACCGGCAGGTCTGCACGACGGCCACCACGGGCACGGTGAGCAGCGGCAGCAGCTGCAGCATGGCGCCCACCTCGCGCGCCCACAGCGGCCAGTAGTCGTAGCCCAGCGAGACGTGCCACGAGTACAGGTCGCGCGAGCCCGCCTTCTTGAACACCGTGATGCACACCACCTGCGCGGGGAGAAAGACAGTCAGCGCTAGCAACGTTGTAGGAAAATGTGGCAACTTCTCGTGTTATTCCTTACTAAACACATGCGTGTTTTAATGGCAACTGTTTTTGGGAGCGCGCGAAATTTAATTTTTGCTTTTGGTTTAGAATCTACACATTTCTTTTAAGAAAAGAAAATTAGGAATGTTACTTTGATGTCAATATGACCAAAATAACGCCCTAGAAAAATTCGTGCTGGCAGCAGTCTCTCACCATGAGGATGACGGGGAGGATGACGTTCCAGGTGAAGGTGAGCATGGGCGCGGCCCAGGTGATGAGGCAGGAGGTGGTCTTGTGGAAGAGCGTGCTGGCGATGCTCTCGCCGCTGTAGGGCCGGCCGCGCGCCATGAGCACCGCGCCCACCTGCAGCAGCTGCAGCACCATCATCCACCAGCCGCTGCCCACGCAGAAGTCCAGGAAGTACACCACGAAGATGCCGAGCTGCCAAACAACGCAATATTTCGTGTAAATTATTTGTTTCTTGCGGGTGTGCCTGATTTTCTTACACGCTCCGTTGGTGGTCAGATTTGACTTTCTACTAAATATGGCGAAGCACTGTCTCTTGACGAACCTCGGTGGTCATTGGTAGACCCAGGATGAAGCCGCAGGCGCACGAGAAGAAGGTGATGGTGGTCTCCCAGCACTTGAGGCTCTGCGCGTTGATGGCCATGATACCCGTGATGACGCAGTGCCAGATGGCGAGCTGCGGGACATAAAATGGAAGCTCATCTGATGGTCTCGGGAAGTCCGTCGGGGCACGATGGGGGCGTCAGGGACTCTTCGACTCACCTGCTGCGCGATGCCGAACAAGATGAGCACGAAGTAGAAGAGCACGGCCCAGAAGGGCGACACTTGGTCGGCGCCCAGGAGCGCGAGCGTGGTGGGCACGAGCTCGGTGGCGAGGCGCAGCACCTGGTAGCCACTCTCCTGCGCCGCGAGCGAGCCGGGCTTCTGCACGCGCTCGCCCATCACGTAGGAGGCGTGCGGCATCCAGCGCACCGGCGTGGTCTGGTAGGTGAGCGGCACCTGGTAGCGGTCCAGCCGCTCCAGCGGACCGGACTGCAGGAACGGGTACGTGGACATGCGCTCTGCAGGCAGGAGAGAGGGCGGCGGTCAGCGGACAGCAGGGCAACACGGTCAACAGTCAACACACTCTCATTCCTATGCGTTCTAAATTACCACTAACTGCGCCATTCACTTGCGGGGTTAGTCCCAGCACTAGATCATTCGGGGTTTTAGACAAAAGGCGTTGAAAACTCGTCCGCAAACTCGACGCCCCGACGACGCCCTCGCGGCGCACCTGGCCCCTGCGAGTTGGCAGCCCAACTCGCACGCGCGCCGGGCGGCACGTGCCAAGCTAAGGCTGCAAGCACACTGCTCAAGCACAGCACTGCGTGGGTGGAGCACAGCCGAAGTTTAAAGGGAGTCTGAAGGATAATCAGGCATTATTTGTTCGCGAAATACAGCCAGAGAACGATTTAGTCGGTACAACCGAATATGTGCCATGATTTTTAAAAACCAATTAATGTTTACATTCCCACTTTGAACAAAATATGGCTAGTCCAGTGCCGGAAAATTAAGAGTTAAAACAGTGTGTCTTAACACGTTGAGTGCCACGTGAACACCACATGGTGGCCGAGCCTTGCTGGGGAACGCCACCCCTGTTAATTTCTCTGTGACTCAAAGGTGTTAAATACGTAATGGACGCTAAACGCCACTCTAGTGACGCTCTCATGACGTCCGTACTGACCGAAGGAGCTCGGCACGTAGTTGTAGCCGTGCGCCAGCAGCAGCGCCACGCACATGTTGGCGAGGAAGGCGGCCAGCAGCAGCATGGAGATGGTGAAGACGATCACGAGGCTCGTGTCGCGCTGCAGGAACTTCTTCTGCTTGTTGTGCGAGGCGATCTGCATGGCGGCGGTGCCGAGCAGCCCCCAGGTCATGAACACCTCGGTGGTGGCCGCCACCCAGCACTGCACAAACAAAGACGGCCGTCAGAGGAAGATGTCAACGGGTGCCGGGCGTCCGCCTCAAGCACTACTCTTCGGTCGTGGGTAGGCAACCCAACGGTCGCGCGGGGCAGGCGGGCCGCGGCATGCGCCGGCGCCGCGCACCGGTTCGGGCTGAACTGGCCCCTACAACTTCCCAAAAGAACTCATTCTCTTCTCATTTCAATTATTACAAAAGTAATAGTTTACAAAACGAAAGCAAATGCTTATTCTGAACTTCGAAGCTGACAAATGATTCGAAAAGCGCTATTTTATACTCCGGGTGACGTTCAGTGGAGCTTAGAGGTCCGTTACATCTGTTACACACTGTGCGCTTACGTTGGAATTGATGAAGAACTCGGTCCACTCCGTCTCCGGGAACACCTGATGGTTCGAGTCCCTGGGCATGAGCCCCAGCATCTTGGTGCACAGCACGAGCATGCCGAACACGGGCACCACCGAGAACACGTACACCACCTTGCCGTACGAGCGGAGACCTGCGGATGAGAGAAATGTGTGAGTCAGGACAGTGTGAGTCCAGGCTGGAAAACGACCGGTGATCTCCCCGCGACCGAGCCCGCGACCGAGCCCGCGACCGAGCCCGCGACCGAGCCCGCGACCGAGCCCGCGACCTTCCCTCCAGATCGTTTTCCACGTTTTTGTCCACAGTTTTGACCGGTTTAGAGGGCGTTTCCACGGAAATCCCATGGAGGCTCTCCAGCTGCCATCCTGAGCGGCCGGCCCGGGCCAGCCATTCGGATGGGACCACCCATACTTATTGACTCCCCCCCCCCCTCTTCGCTTCATCCGCCCCAATTTCTTGACCCGCCTCACCTTTGCTTAGCGAGACAAACACGATCATCCACACGACGGCCAGGTTGAAGGCGACCTGGAACTTGATGTGTCCGAATGAGTTCTCGGGCTGCGCCAGGTTGTGCCGCTGCAGCACCACCCCACTCAGGTAGTCCGGCACCGTCTGCTCCAGGTTGGGGGTGCCGTTAAAGTAGGGTCGTTGGTCTGAAAAAAAACAAAACAATTTGCACATTTGTAATTAGATCGCTACGATCCCCATCATTTCTATTTAAAACAACTCGCAGTTTTCCATAGGGCAATCGTTTAGACGCAGCCCTGCTCCTGCTTGTATCGGGGGCTGTTAGTTATCCCCCCCACGTGCGAGACACCGTGTCGATGAGACTTGGTGTTGACAAGGTGAAGTCGGGGGCACGTGGAAAGAGCCCGAGCAAGGCGCGGCGGGGAGGCGCCACCAGCCTCACTCCATATGATATCGCGTCGCGGCCCGAGAGTGCCGGAGTGATTGACCCCGCGGCCCAAAGCCCGGGAAATAAAAGGCAAAAAGACGAGGGTATACGAGCCATTTACTTTGGAGGGGGGGAGGTGGACGACGGTCCTGGCCGCCGCCGACCGGATTGGTGAGTCCGCGAGCGACCCGGTCACCGGGGCGCGGCGGGCGCGGCGGGCGCGGCGCAGACCGCGCCAACTGCCGGCGAGCCTAGGTGCTGGGTTGGCCTAGGTCAGGGAGCCGCGCGGGGTGCGGCGAGCGCACACCCAGCGGGGTGTCGCGTCGCGTTGTCACGTGGTCAGGTCAAATGCACCGGGACTTGCAGCCAAGTGGCTTGCTTGAGACGATCGTTCTGGATTGACCCTATTTCTTCTCCAGCGCCGTGCCACAACCTGCGTCAGCGGCATGGCACTCGCCGCGGCTGGACAAGATATCGACCTCCGACCGAGGAGGACGGCTGGTCAGAGAGGAGGGCCCCCGGCGGCGTAGCCATTCCCCATAGGTACATCACGTTAGCATAAACATTTTCGTCACCACAGAACTTTCTGATGCTTGTGATAGCTGTAAGGTATCGTTTTACTCAAATTTTTATTTTTTGCCAGTGTATTATTGCTTTGAAAAAATCCTGTATGAGTTTTTTAATGCCTGCGATTTGCGATCATTGACTGGATGCTGGTAAGTATGTGTACTAACAATCTCGCTCTCGATCTCGCTTTGGCTGAGTGGCCGTCTTCGAGCGGGAAACCGAGTGGCGCGCCCGCGTGAACTCCTCACCCTCACGGGTGGGTCGTGCGACCAGTTCCAGTGCTCACCTTCTCTGTAGAGGTCGAAGGGCTCGGCCCAGCGGTAGCGGTCCTGCTTCGTGATGAACGAGTCCCTGAAGTAGATAAATATCCAGGACACACCCACCGTGCTGTACACGCCGATCAGTGCCTGCGCCACGAGCAGCGCGATGCCGATCCCCTGTGCAGACGAAACATGTGAGTACGTACGGCGATGTGCGGACCTAGACTGCCATTTCCTCAGAAAGCGACCAGAAATAATTGAAACTGAAATAATTTTGGTGGAAGCCGTTTACCTGGAAGACTGGAGAGATGCGCCACATGTCGACGGCGCCCGCCGCCAGGAACTGGCCCAGGCAGACTTGAAACGTGTACAACGGGATTCCGAACACGGCAGACAGGATCAGGAACTGGATTATGAAGTTGGCTGGAAGGCGGAAAAAGATGTAAAATAGATAGGCGAATGGTTCACTGGTACAATGAAAAGCTCGCGAACGAAAGTGACCCGCCATCGTCACACTCCCTGTCACCGACGACGGTTTATCTTTCGTCCTTGAACAGTTTCACGTCAAGTTGAATATTTTTAACAGCCAAATAAAATGAGTCGTATATTAGAACAACATGCCGAGCAATTTTTCATTCGTATTAAAATCGAATAAAATTTCACAACACGTAATGAAAAGATTATTAAATACCATTTCTTTGATCTAATGAAAATATCTTCACAACAAGTAATGAATATGTAATGACACATTTTTATTAACAGTACGCCAGTTGCTTAAGATTTTTGAAACAATGTCTTCAATTAAATCAATGAAATGAAAAGCAAACTACAGTGTGGCAAGTGATGACAACGCTGAAGACGGTTTGCGTGTGCGTGCCGTGGCACCGCACATGTGAACGTACCTCCGAACTGCACGCTGAGGACGGCGAACCTGGAGATGTTGAAGAGCCCCACGGTGCAGCCGAGGCAGGCCAGCGTGGCGCTCAGGTTGTGCGGCCATTGCCCCAGCGGACTGGCGGCGCGGGCGCCCTCCGGCATCACCTCACATGACCTGCCGAACACAGAACACACACCTCGGGTGAGAAGCGGGCCGCGGACCGGACAATCGCTTTCCAGAAGCGCAAACAGAAACCAGTCGGTAAAGATGAGGCAAATTACTTTAAGACCCAACAGAGTTTTAAGAAGCGTCTTGATCGGGTCGACCACCACAAAAACCACAGGAACTCGCCGACACGATAGGGGTCGAGACCCGAGCGACTGCGAGGCGACTGGAAGACCAGTATAGCGCGAGGATTGGCCCTGACAATGAGATCCAAACAGAAACGGTCATGTTCGTCTGCGCCCTGCCAGTCTCCCAGCGGGTCCAGCAGGATGACACCCGTGCCTACCAGGCGGCGGTGGCCGTCTCGTGCCGCGGCCCGAACAGGAGTGCACAACAAACGCGTCCATCGCATCCTCACCGCCAGGGCGACAACTGCGACCTTCCCCTTGCAGCGCGCGGAAGCGGCAACCGGCTGCTCTGGGAAGCGAGCGCACCGCGGGCAAATGTAACGGTAGGAAACCACTTGTCACACCCACCAACCGGCGGGGCGTCCTTGTCCAAGGCGCGGGGCGGGGCGGGGCGGGGCGGCACAGTGCGCGCGCTAATTCACTTAGTGCCGCCCGGCGCCGCTTCCCGCCGCCGTTTCCGTATTCACCGCCGGGCCCTCCCGGTCAAATATTGCCGCAGCCGCGCTGCAGCGCCGCCCGTGGCGCCCGCGGCCTTGTGCGCGACTCTGCCTCCACAACCGCGGCGCTGCAGCGCGCGGCACTCTGCCGTGTTGTGTGCCGCAGGGGTGCTCTCCAAACGGGCAGTAAAACTACTAGAAGAGGAACAGGAAAAGTGCCGGCCCCCCTCCAAATCCCCCACGGTTCGCTCATCCGTCGCCGTTGGCTTTGCGGCGGCAGGCGTAGAGTAGCGGTCTGGTCCTGTCCGGCCAGGAGGCGTTCTCATAGCGGTAAGCTCGCCGGCGGCCCCACCCCACCCC